TAGCATCTACAAATTAATAAAATTTATAACGAAAACATTGTGCGCAAGTCAGCTGCTTGCGTCGAAGTAAACAATAACGCATCAATCATATTATGTAAAATAAATAAATGAACAACTGTATAAACAAAATTTCAATTTAATAAACTAGTAATATATGTATGTATATATATAAAATCATGTCCACATATGTCAATTACCCTACCGCCAAAAAAAAACTGTATCATGTGGAGAAAATCAATTACCTTTGACATGGCCTGCAAACCCACAAGGACTTCCGCCGGCTGTTACGGCATGAACGGTTAGAACAAGATTTTCCAAAGGACATACACTTTAACACATTGGTTTTAGTATTTAACAACTATTAATTATTATTAACTTTAACATTAGAACTTTGTATTTTGGAAATCGGTTTCCATACACTAGTATTCACCTATCATCAGCCGCGACGCGATCAATACTGAATGACAATTTGCCGTGCGGCAACACACGAGGAATAGTCGTGGTTTCTGCGCAGACTGCGGAAGCAGCCGAGTGCGCAGGAGGACTCCGAGGAGGTTTTTCGGCGGGAAAAATGAACTTGGTTATGAATTGAAATTGATAATAGACACTGTCAATTATTATATCATTATTTTAATTATAATATGAAAAATATAAATTGCGCAAACCAGTGCAATTTGGAATCGACATTACTAAATTCAATGAAAATTTGATCGATGAGACATAAAATGATATTATTAATAGATATGGATAATATTAGAAAACTTCCAATTATTATTATTTCAACATTGATATAAAAAATATAAATTGCACATTGCAAGAGCTATACGTCAATCAGTAGGTAATTATTCAATTAACAAATGCAAAATTCGTTTACAGTCAAACAATATATGTAATGCATCAATTTTCTTATTCTCCTGGTATTAATAATGACTGTAAGTTGAATTAAAGAGCAAATTCTTGGATAAAATAGAAATGTTATGTTACGGGTCTATATTCGTATGAGTTGGTAGTAACAAACTGTCAAAAAGCTGAGCATTTGCACATGAAACCTAGCTTCACGTATGTGTTATTAAGGAGACAACAATGAGATGAACTTATTACAAAATTGTTATTTAAGGTTTGAGCGTTTTGTAGGTTAGGCTTTATGTGTAAAACCTAACCTACGTGGCTGATCTTCTATTTTATTCGAGAATTGGCTCCTAATCTTATTTTCAATTTTTGCGGCAAGGAGAGGCAAGAAATTAGCAAAATTAATAATGAAAATACTATAAAGAATAGATATTTTTAACTTCCCGTAGGGCAAGTTATAGTAATTGCAAAAAAATCGAAAATGAAATGTTTTTATATATCTTCACGTTTGAAAACCTTCTGAACATTTTGGCATACCTTAGAGAAAATGTATGTATGTGTGTGTGTGTGTATGTGTGTGCGTGTATGTGTGTGTGTGCGGTTACAAATTTTTGTTGACGATTTTGGGAACACGGATGAAGCGATTTGAATAATTCAAAAACATTCGATTCGTATTGATAAGAAGACGTGCTAATTAGTTTTTGGCGAAGGCAGGACTAAGCGTTCCGAAGATATGGGGCAAACAGTGCCATAAATGGTAACTCAGTTTTTAAGAGAACGGAGCGTCCGATTTGAATAGTTCAAAAAACTACTAATCCTACTTAGGCAGGACTAGCGGTTTCGGAGATCATTAGACATATGCACATCAAATTATCAGATATTTTATAGAGATTTTAACAATAAGTATAAATATTATTTACATTCCCATGAGCTCCGTACCAATGTTTATCCGTTAAACGCTGACGTGGCGCTTACGCGCTTCGATATTTTGTCTTTATTAAGTTAAAGCAGTACGATTGCTTTGAAAAAAGTTCAGAATTTCTAAAATATTTCAAAATAAATTTTTCTTCAAAAAGTCTATTTTTTTTTCAAAAAAAAAGTAGATTTTTGTCAAAAATTTATTGTTTCTCAAAAATCCAATTTTTTCAGAGTAAATTTTTTTCATAAATGTTAATTTTTTTTTAAAAAAAATAATTTTTGGTACGGGAAGTTCCAGCAAATTGCCTTAAGGCACGATGCCATGCGCCCCACTAGTTAAGATAATTAGATACTGATCATTATATTAGTGATTAGATACTGATGATATATTGATATTGATATATACAAAGCATTACATATACTTTAATACTGTAAAATATAATAAGATTTAAAAGAAAAATCTGATATAATTAATTAATTGATGAAAAACTAATTTAACCTGTTCAAATAATTAATTAAAGAAAAAATATAAACATATATAAAAAATATAAACTCAACGAAATATTTATAAGGATCTGGTTCTGCCCATGGTTTAGAGCTATAAGGTGATTAGGATCTATAAGGAATCAGAGATCCCAGGTTCGAACTCCGTCTCGAGCAGTCTGATGTCAAGCAGTAGTTAGAAACATGTTTTACGTAAAAATAGACCATAGCCGGGATTGCTACTTCAATAAAAAATCATCGCTATTACAGAAATTGTAAAAATAAAAAATCATCACACTGAGATGGGACAACTGTTTGGGTTGACATCTAAGAAACCAATGTCGTTTGTTAAGTCAAATAATCAAGACCGTTGTTTAATGCATTTCCTTGACTGAAAACACGAAAAACCACCATTAGAATTATTACTGTCTATAAATGTGCTGTTCTGAGCTAATTGTAAGAAAACATTCTGCTTAGCAAGGTTTTAGCATTTATTTCCCCAACGTTTGGTTTCCAGACCGACTACTCAGAAACTATCCCAAACAACGCACAGATGGAACATTCATTTTATTTCAAACTCCACAAAGGTATCGATCACCTGAGTCTGCGTGATTCCAGGTGATTTGAATGCTTCCGCCGCCGCATAATATGTCTCTCCGCAATAAATAATCACTTATCGAGAATAATTATCGCCGCTGATTTTACTTGTAAAACTCCAGAGTACAAACATCGATGCAGTTCCTCTACAAACTAATTGACACTGCCAAGTTCAAGATTTAGATAAGACGACCCGACTGACAATGTTGCAATAAATATATAAGCAGGTTTAGCATGCGAGTAATAATGGGTTTGTTAGCAAACCTACTATTTGCTGTGTAACCTTTTATGCAGCAAGAAAAAAACAAGAAAAAAGTGGCATTTATATAAAAATAGGTTGAAATTTCAAACTCATACTTATCGTGACCTTATATAAAATAACATTTAAAAGCAATTTTCAAGAAAATAAAAATTAGAGCTTGATTCCATTGAGTCAATGTTTTTCAATCCTTTTGTTGTTACTTTTTTGCCAATATAATTTCATAAATACTGCACTGATTTTATAACTGATTTATAGGACTGCAAACGTATTCTAACGTAATTCTAACGTACTCTGAAGTATCCTTACGTAATTCTAACGTATTTGACGTAATTCTAACGTAACATGCAGAATATGAATGCCACAAGAATAAAATATAAAGAGAAAATATAGAAAATAAGTATTTAAAATATAGAACAAAAATTGTATATATATAGAAATTCACAGTAAATAAACGCGTAACTTATACTTCAAAAATCTTGCAAAACAAAGTCAAAAAATTGGCAAGTTCTCGTGCAATATAGACTTTCCATGATGCTTTTGCTTTGGAAAGAAAAAGGTGCTTTTCTAAAATACATGTGGTTCGAGTCACGAATTTTCATATTTCTCCGCTCTACACAGTTGTCGTTTACTCAATTCAAATGAAGAAAATCCACTATTTGTTATGTTATATGTAACAAATATAATGTAAAATTAAATTAGTTTATATAACATTTCGTTTAATGTGATCTGGTGAAATTTATTAATTTTATCATACCTCTAAAATAATGGTGCATAGATATTTGATAACGATATATAATGAAATGCATAAAACTACAATAAAAGCATATAAGTCAAATGTTATGTATCAAATAAAATGATAAACTGCATATACTCATAAAATTGATTAAATCAACAATTTCCCAGAAAATTTAATTCGTCACAATCCATGCAATATTATTAGTAGCTTTTCCTTTCCCTCAAAGCTCGAAGGCAAGACGTTCGCCTCGGTCTATATCGCAGCAGCCTGTAAGGGGGTCGGCACGTCGAGGGCGGCCTAAGGTGGTTTGATACGAATTTAAATACGGCCTCGACTTGGAGGGGATGCACGTTTAGCAATGAAGAAAACACGCCGCGATTTCGAAAACGAAAAAGAACAAACACATTCCCGCCTGGTTACCATGTCAGAGCGGTTGTTTATTGTGGAGACGATCAGGCGATAGGATACATTGAAATTGCCATCGACTTCATAAAAATGATATGTCGATAAACGCCAACGATTCGGGACTTATGTTGCTAGTGGCTTGCGAGGTGATTACGTGAAGACAGTGCTTTGTGACAAGTGAACTAAAAAATGTGAATGTTCGAATCGGGGATGAGTAGGTGATTTAACTTGAAACATTGTTTGGGAATAAAATTATTTAAATTTCACTTATTTCCACATCAATTTATAATAAAACATTAACTAGTTACATAATTTTTTAAAATCACCCCAGGTATTCAATCATAATTATAAATGTGTTCAAATCTTGTACTAAAAACTAGAAACAACACAAAACTCTGATGAACTTTTGTACATTTTTGGATTCATCGGATACTAAACATGGGTTAATCGATTTAACTTATATGTATTCATGGGTTAATCCATTTAATACCTTGATGACTGTATGAAATGCAAAACTTTTACCAAAATGAGACTTAAAGTGTTAAACTATAAATACTACAAATTTTATAGACAATATTGTTACATCTTGCTATTTTTGTGCTACTTATCATAATAGCTAACTAATATGTGTTGACGTGGTTATTTAAAATCAGAACTTTAAAATTAGTTAATAAATTACAAAAATAATCTTTTACTACTATGTCCCTGGGCCGGTGAAAATTACGAGACGAAATGGCAAATCGCTAAAAAATGTCTCAGCCCGGTGGAAAAAAGGGCGCAAAAGGAGGCGGTAAGAAGGCAACCGCACAAATAACCTCCTTAACTTCTCATAACGTCAAAGAACCGACTACAGCTGCCAACAACGGTCACGATGACGATAAAATTGACGCTGGACCATCAGACTCGGGAGCAGGGAAAGATGATAATGGAGCTTCAAAAAATGGTGATGATAAAGCTAATGGAGCAGATACGCCTTCGAAGCCCCAAAGTGCGGGAGCAGTCACGAGAGATGGGGCGCAGAAGGTGCTTATGTTGTGCCAAAAGGGGGAATGGACCCCCTTGGACAATGCGCTTAAGGCTTTGGAAAAAGCAGTGGCGGCGGCAGGGGAAGAAGCTAATCTTACGCCGCTTGCGGGGGTTGCTGATTCGGTAAGTTACCAGAAATAAGAAAAAAAAAATGGTTTTAAGTGTAAAACGTCTGATGGCGCAAGCAAATACATTGTGTTTTGTCAGTTTGTGACTGCCAACTCATACGATTATAGACCCGTAACATAGCATTACTATAATATTTCTATTTTATCCAGGATTTGGCCTTCGAAATCAGAAAAAATAACTATTTTAATCGCCTGTGGCTTATGCTGCAATTTAAGCTAATAATAAGATACAAACTATTGACATGAAAGTAAAACGATTCAGGCGCAATTTGAATAGATCAAATATTCATCACATTCAATGATAAATCCATGATTCGATATCGTGGTATTGACATCAATGATACTCAATTACAAAAAAAAAATCACCAACTAAGTTGAAATTTATGAACCAACTTACCATAAATAGTCTAATAGATCCCGAGTCTAAAATGTCCCTTGCAATATACGCTCCGAATTAAAGAAAAATGAAATTATTATTGGATATTCAAAATCCCTGATTTTTCAACACCATGAATTTGGTGGCAAATATAATTAACATTCATAACAAATTGTGCTTAAACGCATTGCATCATTTGGACGTAAAATATATAATCCAGGCGTATCTTCAACAAAGAGCAATCACTTGTTTCAATTATAAATTTTTGCTACTATCTGTAAAATATTTTGCCCGTATACCATAAAAAAATAAATAAGCAAGATTATATACCAACTCATTAAAATTAGATGACGAAATGCACCATTAAGGTAATATATGTGTCAACATTTCGCGTGCAAGTTGCAATTTCGCTTTTACGAATATTTCTACATATCTTAAAGTCACATATTTTTAACGAGAATTTTCATTAGCTAAATTTATACTTTATATTTGCATCTACCAGAAATAACGAAGGGTGGAGTGGAGGGTGGTCGAAATAATCGAAATAACTTTGCATAAACACAATGGGCGAGTGGGGCTACTGCACTGGTGCATTGAACCGCCTCAAGACGATGTAGAGTCCGCAATTATAATATTACTGACCCCGTGCAAGGGTTACTTGCAATAATATGAGATTTTTTATAGGTTAGATTTAAATGCATAAGGGAAAGGGTTGTCTTATCGTCGGTATGTGGCAAATTTAAATATTTATCTTTATGCGAAAGTTTCCGAGGATAAATTTTTAGGTCTGTATGTTTGTGAAAAGAAACACATTACTCTATACTTAAAGGTTTTGCTTTGCTACTCTGGTATCACTCTTTATATCAGAAAAGAATTTGCGATCTTTTTGCTTTAAATTTGCTATGAATTTGCAATGCAATCAGACATATTACATCTAAAACCTAACCTACAAAATGCACAGTTCTTAAATAACAATTTTATCATAAGTGCAACTTTCTGATGAATTGTTAATAACACATACGTTAAGTTAAATTTTAGGTGTACATAGCTTTTTCTCAGTTCATTAATACCAACTCATACGAAGATAGGTCCATAAAATAGAATTACCATTACATTTCTATTTCATCTTGAGTAATCATAATCTTTTTTTTATTTATTTTTTTAACTCGTTTTATTCAGCAATCAAAAATACATAAAGATTCCTATGAGTTAAAATGACAATATTTAAGAGCGATGTCTAAGAAGAGCTCCAATGAGATCTTCTCAGTTCAACAATTAATATGATAATATTATATTAGACCTAATCTAAGACTAAGTCTAAAGGCTATTGTCGTTTCAATCTCCTTATACCAAAATGTTGAGTAATGTCAACTATTGATGGGTTCGAATGTGAGTCCAGTTTGCGTTTGTATTTTTCCTTGAATTTTTTGAACGTTAATTGCACCGTTTTCATGTTGAATGGTTTCATTTGTTATGTACCACGGAGAATTAAGAATTGTACGTAAAATTTTTGACTGAGTTCTCTGCATTATAGCTATATTTGATTTGTAAGCACATCCCCAGAGCTCAATTCCGTAGGTCCAGATTGGATTAATGATTGATTTATATAGCAGCAACTTATTTTCAACAGAGAGCTTAGACCTAGACGAAAATTATTAAAGATTACCCACGTTACATAAGTCTTCCTTAGCTCAATTTATAGCAATGATATAATATTATTGTTTTCCCGTCACATTCAAAAATCCTGATATCAACTTTCAGTTTTTAAAAATCTTATTACTATTCAATTACTAAATCGAGTGCCACGTGTCCTATGATTAAATCCAACTAATATTTATACAATATTAGAAACGTGCAACCTAAATATGAATCGGGGCGATTTATTGTGTTAGGTCTGTTCGTCATTTTCTCTCAATAGGAACAAATTCTCATTGCTCAGCGATTGTGACCTAGATCTCGTGCAGTCGGTTCTGTGTTCGGACTTCCGTTCCGGAAGTTGGTTATAGGGTCGTAAAGGCCCTCTGGAACTCGGCTGGTCAAGGGCGGGCGCGGACGACACGTCACGCCCGAGCATAAGGCGCGCGACCCTGAGAAGGAAACTTACGGTACTGGGTAGAGATTATTTTGAATTCTTCAAGATTTTTTAACTGAGGATTATCTGGGGATATAAAGTAACCTTTTATTAAAAGGGCTTAAAGATCTGAGGGCAAAAAAATTTACCACCATTATCTGAAAAACATGTGAAGTATAGAACTTTTTAACAATGCCATTTTAAAGTAGAAGGCCAAAGGTGTGTAATGAGCCAACGTGGTGATTCTTAAGACATCGTTAACAGGTTTTTGGTTTTGAGCTCTTTTATTTAGTTTATCTTAATATAATTTTATAATTTGCATTGATTGATTAATTTATCTATTATTTTCTAGTATTAAAATTAAAAATAATATATTGGAACTGCTTGTCCCATGGCTCTTCCATTTTACGCCGCCTATGGGGCAAAAAAGAACAAATGACTAATCTTAGAAAAATATAACAAAAAACATATTTATATAATTAGGAATTGACTGGGAATTTCACTGAATATACATAGTTTGATAGTTGATTGTTTGATACGTGTTTTGTGTCATGTATTTGGTTTAGACATGATAGTTACAGAAAGTCAAATTGGACCTTTGTGTTACAATGAGATCATTTTATTTTTAACTTCCCGTAGGGTAAGTTATTGTAATGGGCCAAAAATCGAAATTGAAAATTTATACATTTCTCGACGATTTGAAGGTTTCTGAACATTTTGGCATACCTCAGAAAAAATGGATTTGTGTGTGTGTATATGTATGTATGGATACAAACTTCCAGTCACGTTTTAGGGCGCACGGATCAACTGATTTAAATGGTTCAAAAAACATTCGATTCCTATTGATAGGGAGATGAGCTAATTAGTTTTTGGCAAAGGCAGGTTTAGCAGTTACGGAGATAAAGAGCAAAGAATGCAAAAAATAGAAATCGAGTTTTTGAGAGAACGGAGCATCCGATTTGAATGATCTAAAAAACATTCAATTAGTAATGATTGGGAAAAGTGTTTATTAGTTTTTGGCAAAGGCAGGCCTAGCCATTTCGAAGATACGGAGCTAATTGTGTGAAAAATGGCAGTTTTTAAGAGAACTAAGCGTCCGATTTAAATGATTCAAAGAACTCTCTGCTTGTTTTAACAAAATAAGTGATTTTGGAAAAACAAATTTTTGTTTCAACTTTTTTTTCCAAAAAAAAAAAATTTTTAGTATATCGAAAATAATTCAGATTTTATTTTTAATTCTGTCCATAGTTCTAATATACCTACTTTAAACAAATAATTCCAACTTTTCAATTCAGTTTATATAATTGTTATAAATATTAGACAATGTTACAATATTAATAATAATCTATTTAAAAACATTCAGTATTCCTCGAACATTCCGTTACGGTACGGGAAGTTCCAGCAATTTTCCTTAAGACACGATGCCATACACCCCACTAGTTTTTTATTTATATATATTACTCAAACCGCATATTTATTTAAAAGCGCTAAATGTTAGCAAAATATTCTTCTAGTAATCATGTTTATATAATATCAATTTTTTTATGTTTCTTGAAACAAGCTTGCTATTAAATCAGAGTGTCTGGCCACATGATTAAGAACTTGAATGTAACTACAAACGAACATGCTAGGTCTTTTGCAGCAAGGTTACTCTATTGAGGATTATAGACTATTTCGATAATGTGCACATTTATATTTAGAATTAAACATTACGTGCGAAAGATCATAAATTACTGTGGGCACAACAAGAATTACATTTTGCATTGAAAAAACATTAAATTCGCATATGCATGCATAGAAGATTCGGATCAAAGGCTAGCCTTATTTTAATAATTTTAAGTGATTGCCTATTAACTTAGATTATGCACGGTGAGGTAATCACGATTTTATAAAAAATACTCTAGGTTATTAAATATAGACCAAAAACGTCATTAAATATCGACTGTAAATCCATAAATAGAACAATCTCTATTCGAGCTAATTTCGCTAATGTGCTGAACTTTTTATATTTATCCAAAAAAAATTACACTAATTGATTGCTTATAATGATTACAACCGTCAACATCATACTTAAAATCACACTAAAGTCCACTCCACATAGATTAGTTTGAAACAGTTACATATAGTTTTTTTTTAACTTTATATAAAATTATTTCTTTTGTTTATTTTCTACATGCATAACAAGTAGTTTCTCTATCGATATGAACATTCATGAGAAAGTAAATCTTGAAATTGAACAAATGTTTATTTTAGCTGAGCTTTGTTCATTTGACCCAGTTTGATAATCAGTTACGACTCGTATAATTTCACTGTAAACGACCGTCTAGCAATGTGGGTAAACGACTTGTAGCTGGGCCATATTATAAATGTGGAGATTTATATAAAAATATAATCAAAAATCGATTGCATATAAGAAAATTAATTTTAACGTTATGGAAAATATACTTTTTTGTACTTTATTAACCTTACTATCAAATTATTTTATTTATGCCAATACAAAAACCTTAAAAAATTATGATTCTTCTGAACAGATTGATAAAATCCATATACATCTATTTGTTTTGCAATATATTTTTTTAAAGACTTAGTAAAACTACCTATGGCTGAAAAATTTAAGTAAGTGTTCAACTAAATCAGTATCTAAAACAATAACTCAATTTAATCATTTGCACGGGGTATAAATAATATTTGTATAATAAATGATTGACTGTAATTCAAATTTTATCAATTGCAATCATTCTATGACATGAATCAATATTAACATTATATTTTGGAGTAATTAGTTTGCTTATTCGTGAAAGTAATATAATAAGATTGTAAAATATGGATTATGAGTTAATTATGAAGTATATAAATTTAATTAACAATAGAAAACTATAAAAAAATAAATGTTTAAAAAAGATACTGATGCTGTGAAATTAATGAGTATTTTTAGTGATATGAGTATTTTAGTAATAGGATGAGCGTTTTTATATATTTTATTTATTAGTTGGTGAATAATAAATATTATTTTTTTATAGGCAACCGGAATGACACCTCTTATGTATGCAGTTAAAGAAAACAGAACACCTGTAATAGATCGTTTGATAGAATTGGGTTCAGATGTCGGAGCCAGGAATAATGTAAGTTCATAGCTTTTTACAAATAACTAAAACTACAACTACCAAATTATTTATCATTTGTTACTTATATATTCAGATAAATTATTATATATTTTAAAACATTTTGGGGAGCTCGTTCGCGTATAGGCTTCATCCGATTAGTCTAAAATACCAGTGTCTCTCTACTAAGTTTATAAAAAAAAAACAATTTATTAAGGAACTATTATTTATATCGTTGAATCGTTCAATTCTTTTTACATATTAATTTTACATATTTTAGTGTGAGCTTAAGCTTGAATTAAAAGACTTAATGATAATGACTTAATGATGCAATCTGTGAAAATCTAAATTTGTAGGATTGAAAAAAAAAAGTTTTTGACAATTTAAAAAATTAAATAATCTCTAAAATTATAATTATGTTTATACTTTCATATGATTACCAGAAATAGTTTTGAAATATTACTACAATAGCGAGAGGATCTCGGTATTTTTTCACTAAACTTCAGCAGCCTCCGTGGCGCAATTGGCTAGTGCGTTCGGCTGTTAACCGAAAGGTTGGTGGTTCGAGCCCACCCGAGGGCGTAATCTTTTGCCTAAATTAACTCATTTTGAACAAATCAGACGAAGACATTAAATTCATCATTAACACTTTTAATAGATATATAGATAATTGATAATTCTTCTGTCTTTTAAATAAATTTGGTAATTGAAAGCACATTTTTGAGATCGTCATTGATTGGTGCTTATGTATTTACAATTGGGTATTTTATAATATTAAATGAAAATTATATTGTTAAATTCAGAAAATTAAATATATATTACTTAAAATCTACTCAATCATTAATTTATTATACAGAAATGTTTAGAACAAAATAATAGCAATTATAAGTAAATTTCCAAAAGAATTCGCCCCCGGGTGGGCTCGAACCACCAACCTTTCGGTTAACAGCCGAACGCGCTAGCCAATTGCGCCACGGAGGCTTGGAAAAGCGTCTTCTAAATAAATTTTTTACAATATTGAGGCTAAATAGATCATAAATGCTACAGCATGATTTTTTATCGCACATATGTTTCCTTATCACTGAATTTTGCGTGTATTGTATTAAAAATGTGAAATCTATTTGAAAAAAAAATTTACAGTTGCCTGATATTTTAAAATGATTAAATTTGATTGATTATTCCCTGGATTATGAATTATTAAATTACCAATAGAGCTAGCTTTGCGTACAACTAGACGGCATTAGCAGAAATCAATTCTTTCGAGATGAGTTTCAAACCTTCGCTCTCATATCGTTCGCATGAATACATGACTTTGTTAAGCTCTCGCTAATGTATCCCATGTTGTCTAGTGGTTAGGATACCTGGCTCTCACCCAGGAGGCCGGGGTTCGATTCCCCGCATGGGAATATTTTTGCATCCAACTTTTTGAACAATAACACACTACATCTGCTCATATTTTAAAAATTTTTAGATACATATAGTTTAAACGTGTAAATTAATACTTTTTTTAAAGAAATATATGCGTATATTTTAATAAATTAACAATATCTAGGGGCCGTTCAAGTATTACGTAATCACTATAGGGGGACGGGGGGGTTGTTGATTTGCTTATTTTGGGTTGACTTGGGGGGCGGGGGAGTCTGGATGATGATTACGTTATAGGTTACGTAAGCATGAGGGTAGGGGGTAAGAGCTTTTGCTGACAAGGGGGATGGGGGGGGGGTAAATAATTGTAATAAATCGGCTTACGTAATACTTGAACGATCCCCTAGTTTATATTTATATTTCCTGTTCAAATTTTAAATAGATATTCATTTTTCTTCTCAAATGTGTCTGGCTAAAATTGTTTTTAGCAATATGTAATTTTTTATGTAAAATGCAAAAAAGTTATAAAATTAATTATTATTTTAAAATGTTAATTCAGTTTAGCAAAATTATTAAAGTGCATAAATATGTAGTGTATAGTAAATACAAAAAGAATATTCCCATACCGGGAATCGAACCCGAGCCTCCTGGGTGAAAGCCAGGTATCCTAGCCACTAGACCATATGGGACTGTGTGGGATATGCTTTAACTACAGCAGAATTTCAGCAACGGTATCTTTGTATCAGAATATAAGAGTTTTTTTTCACCACAAGTTTACTAAAATATAAGAGAGGCAGAACAAATAAGTCAATTGCAAATATTTGAGTCTTTTTTTATTTTAGATACATTTCCTCGTTTACTTGATTTTAAGAAAAATTATATTTAAAACATCATGAAATAAATGTAAGATTTGTAATTCATTTGGCAATGAGCAAGTAATCAGACATATATGACTACCTGCATATACGTCTATATTTTTATACAGTACTCGTGCAATTAGTTACATTTTGTTAATGTGTTAATAGTACAATTGATATGAAAATAAGCTGTAAGTGTTATTTTAGCTCCCAAATCACTCCTTTAAAATTTATTTCTACCGATGCCTGTATTCACATACATTAGCAAATTATAGGCGCGGCATATTCATGATCATTATGAATAATTACAAGTAATTTGTAGCACAATTACTGTAAACTCAATCATATTTAATAAACTAAAAGCAAAATCTGAATGGTAGAATTGTACTATAGTACATACTATTGTTATAAATTGCAATTTCTTTTGTATGTTTCTTCAGAAATTAAATTTGCTTTGTCATGTCGAATCTATAAATCTTACAACCTCATAGAATGATTAATTAATGCAGTTCTTTGAGTAATTGCACGCACTATGAAAATCGGTGCGATAAGAATTTAAAGTAATAAATCTTTGTTCGTTAAATTTTTATGACAGGGCTGAATATGCGTCATGGTAACCTTTAGCTAATTGAGTAGCAGAAAAGGTTATCGAGGCAGAACAGAACAGAAGACGAAATTATAATATTGTTGAGCACAGATTGCTATAATTTAACAGTATTTTGGACATCAATGAGTTCTGGTCATTTCTGTCGTCAGAAATATTACACTTTATGAAAAATAGATCATATAAGATTGTCAAATATCTCCTTTCCGCCTTTTTGTATTATAAACCAAGAGCAAAAAAGCGGAAGGGAGATATTTGACAACCTAATATTTGATTCCCAGTACGTCGCGGAATTTAACCTGACGAGTATACTATATAAGATTTATAAAAATATTTTGGAACAAAATTGACTATTTATTGATCAGCATATAGCAGCAATAATTAATAGTATTTTTATTTAAAATTTTACAAAATTGTAAAAAAATTCGCCCCCGGGTGGGCTCGAACCACCAACCTTTCGGTTAACAGCCGAACGCGCTAGCCAATTGCGCCACGGAGGCTTCGAGAGCCTCATTTCCCCGATTTCCACATTATTGAGGTTTAAACAATTGCGAGAATTCACATAAATTTTAACAATAACATGCTAACACATGATTTTCTTATCGCACATATCTGGCATTATCGCCACAGAAGATTACGACTATGGTACTTGAAATGTAAAAAGTTCAAGGTACCAGCACATAGTGCATGAATTAAAATGATAATGTCTTTTAAAGACAAAACCAAGTGTTAACCTCTTTAGCATTTAAATTAAATTAACCCATTTCGAAGAAAAAATATATTTTTCAATATATAACCACGGCACATGCAACTGCGGAACATAAAATGTTCAATTTTTTTTAGATAATTGGTAAAAACATGCATTTGCCCTAGATTACTTCAGAAGTATTGAGTTGTGCATTTAAATCATAAACTTCCTGAATATTCCAAAAAGTAAAATAATCATGTTAAAACCTAAACCGTTGCAACCATTATATAATAATTTTCTTTTCAAGCTCATGAACTTAAAAGAAAATAAGATCAAAACCTAAGTTTATTTTTAAAAAATCAGAACCTAAGTTTATCCAATTTGAATTACATAGCAATTTTAAAATATAATGACCGCAGTCTGGTTGTTCTAATCAATCTCATATTCTCAAACTTTTTAATAACCGGAAATGTAATACATACAGAGTATGTAATATTAAAAAGTTTGAGAATATGAGATTGATTAGAACAACCAGACTGCGGTCATGGTCTTTAGTACGACTTTTAAAAGATCATAGAACATGATAAAAACGAGCCGACCTCCAAATCCCTTAAGACTTCCATGGCGTGATAACGTGGATTCAATGAATGTGACGTGAAATATTTCATAAAACAATATTACTGGGAAATAATGTACAATTGTACACAGAAATATGGTTTCAATCAGAAGAAATAGTCATTGAACACACAAAGATGAGAGTTGTTGCAATGTTTTAGGCGTATTCAAAGTCCTACAAATATCTCATGTAAGCTCTCATCTGAGCCAATGAATGAAAAAATAATATATGTATTTTAAAAATATCTGTCTGGAAACACTGTAGGCATACATAAAAAAGTATCAAGACTGAAAGAATACAGCCTATCCTTTAATTAATTTTTATAATTAAACCGCTTTTCATAGCCCCATAATATTTTAAGGACTTCATTTTTACTATATACTTTATCACTTTGCAAAATTTCATCAAAATCACAAAAGAGTAAACTTGAGGTTCTGTTTGTAAATTTTAATCCAAAAATTAATTTTAGCAATATAGTGATAGACAATTGTCCTTAATTTATTGCCAAAATTTGATATGAATGCATAAGCAAGTAGTGAAATATTAGAAATTTGGTGCTCGAATCAACATTTTTTTAGTTTGTCACTAGAACAACCCACAAAACATTTGCTTTTGTTATCAGAAAATGATTTAGATAAATAATTATAAATTAACAATTTCTTTACTTTGCTTTTCAAAATTATTCAGAAAAAAATATAATAAATTTGTTTTGAAGTCAAAATTTCTCTCATAAAATTATTTACATAAAACTCTTCAGATAACCTGCGAAATATCTCATAACTTTTAATGATGCATAATTTAGCATGCAAGTCATTGTACGTAAATGTACAATTGTAAACAAAATCTCTGCAAATTTGTTTATATTATTATTTAAACAACATATTTTGTTTGTCATGGAAAAAAGTCATCTAGATTTTTCATGAGATGATTTATGGTGAATGAAAGTTTGCCTTACGTGACTTATTCTAAAGAAATTGATTTCTCTCAACGGAACAGTAAAAGGAAAAGCAGCACAAGGCCAAAACAAAAGCTGGAATGAAATCAATATTCTGTATAATTATAAAGGATAATTAGAAAAAATATATAAGCATTAATTATTGAAAAAATATTTATAGCAAATAATAATTTTGGGTAAGAGTTTGAAATCTGATACGAATCTACCATAAAAATTCTACTTTATTTTTTTTTATTTTAACTACCGTCTTAATCTATTTGAATTGTATTATGATCAACTCCTTGTCATTAAAATTATTTATTTATAACAATTTTTCATGAACAAAATTAAATTGTTATTAAAAACAACCCTGAATGTGCAATCATCAATATCGTGTACAATCTTATTTCTTCGTCCTAGTTCCAGTAATATATGCATGATATTTTTCCTACTAGTAATGATATATACAAATTATCATATCAAACCAATTTTTAGGCTATCAAATTTATTCTAACGGAAATTGCTGTCTGCCATCGTCTGAGTTTTCTTGCAAACCGACCTTTTCTTTTGAAACGTGAACAATTAGCTGTATTTCCATATGTATTAAATTTTCCAACATGCATGCCGAGAAGATAAAAATCCCGATAAAAAATAACACTGCTAATAGCGCAAACGTTGCCCAATTAAAACAGTTTTTTATAATTTTCAGCAAAGTGTAACGGAATAAATATAAAAAATGTTGACATGTAATAAGAAAATAATAATTTAAGCCACAAAAACCACTTGTCGATTTAGAATCTTTGCATCAGTATTAACTTTTGTCTAAGGGCCACTTTATTTTTGATTCATTCGAACATCATATAATTTCTAGAATATAATTAAAAATATATACTTTGTTCGGCATTTGTTGCAAAAATAGCTTCAAACTAGCAAAGTAATTACCAGATTGATATGCAGAAATGACGAAATACAAATTATGTTAGCATTTTTTATAATTACTGACTTCAATATAAACTTGTTGATGCGTTTTGAAAGTCGTGCAATGTAATTACATAAAATTGAAATATCATACAAAAATGAATAAAAAAACAGGTTTGCTTATTTTTAGTTAACAATTTAAACATAGTTTACTTGCCAAAACCAACAATTAAACTTTTAGTAATTGTTATGCAATCGTTTTCGTTATCAGTAATTCTGCCAGGCCAGAGGTAATTAATGGCTTGTTAAGGCGACCGAACGCAGTAACAAAATTGCACTGCGGCTTTTTGATAATGCAGTCGAAAGTTCAGAATAAATTGTAGAAGTATAAAAATAAAATAGGTTTATCATAGTTATATTACAGAAATCTTTTGATTTCTACCGAAGAAGCCAATAAATACTTTAAAAAATCATCTATTCTTCATATATATATATATATTTTATAGATAGAAAAGATTATTTACTACTATTTAAATACAATACGATAAAGCTATTTTTAATTAACCTTGAACAACACACCACCGGTTCAAGGCAAAAACAGTGCCTAAACAAATCTAGTGGCGAACCTGAAAGATCGCAATCTTTCATAGTCACTTTCAGCACATTAGCTTAAAATTATCATTAAGATCCAGATTGTGTCATGTCTTGATAAGGAACGATTAAGGTGAAGGAAAAATCTAAGACACATGTCACCGTGATAAAATTAAAATGGAAATTTGTAAGATTGGCGAACAAAGTAATGGTGGCAAATATAATAGACATATATATGTTTATGTCTCATACTCTAATTTTTCCGATTATCCTTTATGATTCTTAGTGTTTCAATCATGTTATTATACAACTTAATTTTATTTCTTCTATTAAATGCTAATTTTCCTTTTTTCCCAGGACAATTACAACTGCCTGCACTTGGCTGCAATGCACGCGCGAGATGACCTGGTCAAACTGCTTTTATCCAAGAGGGGTGTCGACCCTTATGCAACAGGCGGGGTAAGTTAATAATGCATCATAAATGCACTAGAATTACGTGCTTACAGGGAATTCATGACATACCGAGAGATTTTAATTTTTGTTAGCGAATGTGATATCTTAATAATGGATAAATGGCTTTGACCCTTTCCTTTCGAATGCTACCGCTCCCATATTACAACCGTACCCACAAAATTTGTCACTACCGTATCCAACGCGCACTTTTGGAAACAAATTATCTAACAAAACTAATTGCTGGTAAAACTACTAATGGTCAACATATAGCAAAATAACAAAAAAGTGATCTATCTGTACACAAATAATAGCTATTAATAAATGAATTCGAACACGAAAACCTACTTTTGACTCTTCAAGAGCTTTTTCTACAGATCATGTTAATGCTAGGCACTGACTGAAAACAATAATGGACACTTGTTCGAACAATTGCACTTCATCTTTCTCCCTTTTAGACCCTATGTCAAAACCAGTACAGCTTAGCTTTTAAGACGACTGTCACTACTGTACCCTGTCACCCCAGTTTTTCCTATGTATTTAGTTTATAAACAGATAATTTTCAGACCAAACTTTTAAGTTTCAAATTAATTTACAAATAATTTTAAAATATGGTCTATAATTTAGTTTTTGAAACCATTAATAAATCTATCCACCATCATCCCTCTTGTATGACCCAATTTTCTTTAAACCCATAAATAACACCTATAAAGCAATTCTTTTAAGCTAATCGAATATTTTTATGGCATCGATAAAATATGCGTATTGTACTGACAGAAACGTAGGTGCAAATTGGTTCCGTGAATGGCACCGTACGATTCACGCCGATATTCAATCATGATATAAAATCATTTCTCGAGGCAGAAATGATATTACTAATATTGGAGATTGTGCAATAAAAAATGGTAAAAAATGATTTGTTACGATTTTAAACAGTATTCTGTTATAATTTTTAGAAATAATATTTTGAAATCAAAATCTAAATACTACACCACAGCTACAATCGAGAAATCTAATATCATATTTTTTGGTTCATATTTTTTTTATTATAATGATTTTTATTTTTATTTATATTATTATATTACAGTTATTAAAGAGTTTTCTCATTAGTTCTGGTTAGTCGTTTTTTGTTATAATACTTTCAAGATTTCATTTATACGTTAAAATCATAAAGGTCTTAATATTTTTTTTAAATTGCAATTCAGATTTACCTCTAGTCATTTTACTTGTTTATCAGGAATATGTTCGATTTAAATATATTTAGTAAGTAAATGCTCCTCAACCATATTTTATTACTTTTCGTGGTTTTTGAGAACTTGTACCAAACTCGATAATTACCCATATCTTCTAAATTGCTGACATATAACCTTCGAATAAAATTTTGGGAAGCACTTCCTATGAAGTTTTCGAAAATCCTTGGAAGTATAAAGTTTCTTCGATGAAATATTGTGCCAACCCTACATAAATGTCGATACTTTTGAACTGCAATCATATCCGTCAACGTGTCTACTTTAGAACAACTAACACCTACCAAAAAGCGCTCTATATTTCTTAGATCAATGAAGGCAAAAGTGAAAAATGAAAATATTCATAATAGTTTTAGTTTAAATCTCCTTAACATCGTCTCCACTACAAATTTGTCACTGCAAATTTCTTTTATTAGAGAAACATCCATTGCCACCTGTGGCCGAAATTCGATTTAACTACTAATCCAAAATTCAAGAAATTCTCTTTGAAATTGATTCCTCTACAAGTTTTTCAATGCAATTACTCGAATTAGATAATTAGAGTTAGGGAAAGTTAATCGTGTCACTTGTGGCAGCAATTCGACTTAACCACCGATTCTCTTGAATGACACAAATATTCTAATCCTACTTCCAAGAAATTCTCCTTACCATCGTCTCCATAGCCGCCACTTGGCCATTATTTCTTGGCGCGATCGGTATCGCGATATCGGCAACCCTTTCGTTTATTTCAATCGCGGCATCGATAGCGATCCGATCAGGTGCAAATATTTGTGCATATTTATATGTCAGACTATTATACTAGATATACGTACAGAGTTTGATTCAACATAAATACCTTTGTGTGAACAAAACAATCCTGCATGTGAGGTAAGTAGATGGGCAATACAATTTCTGACAATCGGAACGATTGACATTACAATATACGTGTCTTTGTCTGGTGCCGATGGTTAAATTCAGGAGCGCGCGGGATGGACAGAGTTTTTGGGGTCGAAGGCGAATTTTGTAAATGATCATGTTATGGTTTGTGGAAATTTGTGGTAATAATAATATGTGGTAAATTGAAATTGGTAATAATAATATGACCAAGAAAATAATATAAATTGTGTTTACTATAAAATTAATATGAATATGTATATTTAGAATCACCCATTTTATTTAGGGTTGAAGTAACTTTAGACGATAGAAATGATTATGTTATGGTTTGTGAAAAATTTTGGTATCATGGGAATAAAATCGGTAATAATAATATAAATATGGTTATTTAATAGATTATTATGGTTAAAATTATTAACTTTACATGATTCCAAGTGAAGTGGCATTTTGCTTTAAGGCAAGTTGCATGAACTCCCGACATGAGTAAATAATCGATTTACTCAATAAATACTTGATTTGTTTATGATCTATCCGTCTAACGGTTTACTTGTTTTACCTGTTGAAGTGTCTAAGTGTCAATGCTGTCAATCTATTTAGTTTTATACTTGCCTACCTGTCCACATGTTTACATTACATTTGCACCTGTCCACATGCATACCTGTCAACCAGCCATCCTATCTAACCGTCTCCATATTTGTCTACTTGTCTCCTTATCTACCTGTCTACCTATTTACCTGTCCACTTTTCTACTTGTTCACGTGTCCACTAATCTGTAATGCTCATTTCAGCTCACTAAATTTCGATTTCTTAACATTTTTTCTTGCAACTCCAAAACCGCTAATCCTGCCTTCGCAAAAATGTAATCAATAGGACTCTTGATTGGTAATTTTTTTAATTATTGCTAATTAAATGGTACCACTCAGAGCTATTTTTAGTCAAAAAGGTATATTTATCTTAGTTATTTTCTTTTAATATTTTTTCTGTTCTATTTTTGCAGACAAAGCAACAGACGGCTGTGCATTTAGTGGCCACGCGACAGACAGGCATCGCCACGAATATCCTGAGAGCGTTGTTGACGGCTGCCGGAAAAGACATCAGAACAAAAGCTGACGCCGTAAGTAAAATCAAAATTAAATAAAATAACCGAATATAAATTAATATACGACTAATACATACATATTACGACAATCTAAAAATTAAAAAAAAATCAAGAAATTGTCGTTTCGAACGATAGAGATTGGGTTGACAATTCTCTTATTAATACTTACTAAATTAATATTATTACTGACAATATTTTATTAATAATTTATTTCACACTTTTAGTCGATAAAAAAACAATTTTTCAAAATGAAAACACCAATAATTTATAATTCCTAATAATAATAAATAAATATTATTATACGATGGACAAGGATCTTTTACTCACAAGGAGAACCTCAGGGTAACTCTCCTGGGATTTTGATGAAACTTTGCATAGTGATAGAATTGATAGTAAAACCAAACAGCTTAAAATATTATAGGCAATGAAAAGTGGTTTAATTATAAAAAAATAATTGAAGTTAAGAAAATAATGTCATGCTGGAATTTGAACTTGATCACTTTTAACTCCCTTAGGAGCAAGTGCCTAAACTGACCGAGCTACCGATATACATTGGACGGTTTTTTAAAACATCAATTATATTTTAAAATTATAAAATATCTCCTAGACCTATTATATTTCAAACTCCTCGATTTGACTATCAACTCTCACCTCATGCAAAGTTTTATAAAAATCCAAGAAGAGTAAATCTGAGCTTTGCCTTGTCAGAAAGAACAATGAATTTATTTAAATCTGATGTGATTGTCTAATACCAACAATAATATTATGTTTTGTTATAATAATCTAAAAACATATTTATTTACTACATCAAACCACATAAAAACAGGGGAGGTGCTATGTATAATAAAACAAAAAAAAAAGCCCGTGAAGCTCATGTATAATTTTAATATTTTTTTACTCAAATATCTGTGAAATAGTGAATTTATTGCATGAGTTCATAAAAGCAATGATAAAACTTTAAATTAAAATTAAAAAAATAATTTTCTCAAAATAACTAGTGAAATTATAAATACTGTTCGATAATGCAAAAAATTAAATAATTGTTGTTTTTTTGCTATAATAGTTAATTACTATGTAATCTATGAATTAATATTTAAATTTAAATATCGTTTTGTGTATTAAATTAGAAAAAAGTATATCAAACGCAGTTTAATTTAAAAAAAATGCTTATAGTATTTTATTTCCACGAATACCATGGAGCAGTCTGAATTCCTAAATTCATTCCCATTTCCTCGAATATTAATTTAAAAATTAATTACAAATGACTCAAATAATCACGAAAACTTCTTCTAAAGTTTTATTTGCACGTGTAAACAACAAACACGTGTTTCCTAACAAGACAGTTCATTTGCGGTTAAATTCTACCGCTAAATACCTAAGAAGTGTAATAAACATCAAACTTTTTAAACGCGGCAGTTAAAAATACAGGGTGAACTTTTGCAATTACAACATCAACTTGGAAGAAAAGAGTTAAACGTTTTTGAAAGAATTAATAAAGGAAACATGGTATTTGTGGCAGTAAATTAGGCATATTTTAAGCATTCTAACATTCTCCTACTGATTTAATAATCAAAGAACTAAATTATAATATCATAAAACAACTAATTTTAAAATCACATCAAGAAAACATCAAGATGATGATATAGCTTTCTGGTTTGATTATTGAAGTTTTTAATTTAGAAAAAACTAGAACTGAATTAAATTAAAGTATAAAATGAAATTTAACATATTTATGAATAATCCAACATACTACATAACTAAAAAAATCATTAGATTAAAAATCAAATTTTTGAAAAATTTGATGTTTGTAAAAATTACTGATTTTTAATCTTATATTAGATTATATAGGCCGGCGTATCAAAAATAATTAATAAGTATATTATTAACAAATATTTTATTTTCAATTCTAAACACGTGTCCCTTGTCAACATTCAATGCGCATTTATCAGAAAAATTTCCATAACTACGTATCCGAAAGGGATGAGAATTCAGTTGGGGGCAGTATCGGCGGTACCTTGTTTGGGGGTTCGATTTTAAGAGGGATGGTGCGTTGGGGGCACCACTGGGGGACTAAAGGCTAGCTCCATGCCGGGAGCTTGTCACAGCTTGGTACGATGGAACAGTAGTAATGCAGAAGTAAGCTTAAATCGCCCACACATTGAAATGATATTGTGTGGACGGATCGGGGAAAAATGGAAATATTATGAAAAAAAAAATGTTTTAATAATATACGAGCAGATTTCATAATCACAAGGTTAATTTTATATCAAAACTTCATTCAAATAAATAAAATGCATAGCCAATTATCGATAGCTGTTGAAACAATAATTTTCCAAAATACAGCTTCAAATAATTGTTCTAGAAATATAGAAATTTGCTTAAAAAATATTTGAAATTAATCATAATTTTTAAATATTTAAAATATTATTAATCATTAATAATACTGCTTTCTTAGGAATAAATAAATATTAGTGTTTGAATAATAAATATATGTAGATATACTATTTTTGAGAAGCTATGACGATTTAAATCGCAAGGAAAATTCTGTATGTAATTTGTTATAGATTTAAAGTGTGTAATAAATTCATGAAATACAATAGTAAACAATGTAGAAAAAATACAACAAAACTTTAATTAATTTTTATAATAAAAAAATATCAGCTTTTCGATAAAATTATCTTTTATCCAAATCTAAAAGTTTTAGATGCAATATCTCGAATTACGAGTTGTAAAACTTATTCAACTTCAACAAAGCAACTTCCTACGAATTACTACAAAATGTTTGTATGATGAAAACGCGTAACATAAGTCAAACAATTGATTGTATCATTTCTAAAATAACGGAAAACATCATAGGGCAAGACATACATAAATTATTATAAATAGAATACATATTCTATCTAAATATCACGGGGTTGGAATTTCCACTTATATTTTGGGCATTGCGAATAAATGGAAAATTTTCTACTAAAGGAAAATATATAAATTCGAAGCCACCGAACAGATGCAAATTTTAATGCAAAAATTTAAATTAAAAGTTATAAGAAATATTAGAGTAAGGCTATAAAATAAAATAATAAGTTTTTAAAATAAAGTATCAAAGTAAATTTTAAAATAAAACAAGAAAAGCGTAGTATCAATCTGACTTTGATATTTTTTATATAAAACCAATAAAAACTGAACTTTATAGAGAAGCTCTTTGAACTCCAATAAGAATTCATATCTTTCTCAAGTATTATAGATTTTCTTTGAGAAATAGTCTCACGTTGAATTTTGATAAATTAAAAAACGTGCATTTTCCATATGGTATTAAAAAGACTCTATCTAATTTTAAATGAGATCTTGATAAATGAATATGAAAAACCTATTTATGTAGTTTAATTTATGCATTTTTTAAATTTAATTTTTTTTTTGCTTTTACCTATGCAAGTTATAAATAATAAAATTGTGATGTAATATTGAATCAAAAATAATGATACAATGCTTGTATAAACCCTAAAAAATATATATTTGTACTTTTAAACAAATAAAACTTTACTTATGATAATACTAGAAAAATGCATATGTTTTCATTTAACTCGGTGAGATTAAACTTGGATTAATAAAAAACATTAAATATTGTTTTTTTTTACTATACAATGTATAGTATTAACCAATTTTGTATAAATGCAAAAAAGTAATAATATATAAAAAAATAATTAACTAAAATTAAAAAGTGCAAACTAAACTTGATTCATATGTAATGAAATGAAATTCTTAACTTTGATTCATATGAAATTAAAATTCACCGTATTATAATAATCATAAATACTTCAAAAACTATAAATTAGTTTGAAATAAATTTAAAGCTAAGACGTGTAATAAAATATTTGTTAGGGATAATCTATTTCTTGGACAAGAAGAATAAAAGAAAGTTTCACCTACACCTCAAAAGTCAATACAAAAATTAGAATTTCTATAATTATCGCATAAGCATTTTTTTACAAAATTACTAATAAATACTAAAAATTAAAAACATAAAATATATTAGTCTATCTCTCATAAAATATATTAAGATAATATCAGAAAAAGTGCACACTAACTTAAGTCAAAGTTCACAGGCATACACCTTAAGTCAAAGTTCACAGGCAAATAGCATAATTACTTCAGCATAATTCAAAAGGCGTGTCATGAAATATTTGTTTGTTTTCTTCGAAAAAATAAAGAAAATGTGTTTTACTTTCACCTTAAAAGTGATTCACTCCCCGAACATTATTTTGCGATTACATCATCGCGTATAAAATCTCAGCTCATGCGAACAACTAATAATCGTTTTTCTTCGACAATAGAAAAGCCATGAAATTTTTCATTTCAATTCCATATTAACTGATTTGATTTGATTATATCGATTTAATATATATGAAAGATAACTATGACCCAATTTTAGAAAAAACGTGAATGATAGTTGTTATTATTTATTATAAATTCGCGATTACTTTGAATATCTTTGAAGATAGAGAGTAAATTTAATTTATGATGTGAAATATTTGACCTCTGTGTGATAAGATGATAATTGTAAATGTAATAGAACTTAATTAAAATTATAGATTTAATTTGTATATATTCGCCAAATTTGGCATTATTCATATAAATTAGATATAAATCTCATCATTGACCAAATTGAATATCAGGTATCTAAATAAATCCGGAACCGCATGATTAATTTTTGCAATAAACATTTTTCTACACAAAGTACAATGAATATTTTATTATATTAATTATTATTTGATTCAAATGATGATTTGTAATTTTTCAGTATGTAATTAGTACACAACATTATCCATAAATCTTCCAAATCACTAGCAAAACATAAAGCAATTCATTTTCGTTCTCATTTGATGTAATCGTGTAAAAATAGAAGACCTAAATTAATATATTAAATATGATATTAACCGAAGCGATAAAAACTTAATTATACGACTGGTAAGTAGGTGAAATGTATATGTGTAGCTATAGTAGTTTATATATTATATACAAAATACAGAAATATACATTTAATCGTAAAGATATGCGTGTTGAAGTCGTAGAAAAAAATACTTTACAAATACCACGACTCGAATAAATAGAACACCTTAGGAAATTGGACTCAAATTTTAGCCAATTAAAAGTTTTCGATAATGTAAACTGTGTCAAATCAATATAAAGAAAAGGGGTATTATGGGGTCGAAAGTTTTGTAATAAAGAACTAATAAGACAAGTATTTGTTACCGTAAAATTTGTATGAATATTGTACAACAAACTAATTGACAAAAATCTTGCTTGCAATATTATTATTTAATCATGTTTTAATATAAAATGATTACTATTAAATTTTATTTTTAGTATTATGATAAAACATATTAAAACAGCGTAATTAGCCCTAACCATTGGTCTTCCGTGGGCTTATCTGCCCATTTTTAATGTATGTTTATATAAATGATTTTATTTTATTTAAAAAAAAAACATTTATTTTTCTACGATTCGGATACATAAAATATCCCTTTATTCACAAAAGTTTAAAACAAACAAAACTTCTTTGCATTTTTATATTTTTTTAATTATTTAAAAATGGAAAAAAAATTACGTTCAACCTACAATATTAAAATTGAAAATTTAACCATTATGTCGTTATTTAATAATTTAATAAATTTAAAATTATAAAACTATTTAAAAATTGATAGATATGAACCAAATTTTTTGAGAGTTACTAATAACTAACCGAAAAACAAGAAAAAATATTTTAATAAATAACAACTCACATTTTATATTATTAATTAATTTATGGGAATAAATAGCATCCTCAAATAAACATGCCTAAATTGTGATTGTTAATTGCATTGCTAATTATTTAACTTTATTATTAAACATATAAAGTGTTATTACAATTAGCAGAAACAAGAAATGATACATTATTCTTTCTAATTTTCGAAACAATAAATGTCAGCCCACATCTTTATCAAGAATACGATAATTGCTTGAAACTTTGTTCCCAACTTTCTGCGTCACGTGTATAACTGCTCTCTGTTCATAATTATGATAATCACGCAAGGATTCTCTCAACATTTTGAAACAGATAAAGTCTAAATTTAATTGATTTGTAATCAGTTGTAGTGAATTGTCATGTCTTGAGAACGACAATGTAATAGATTTCATTTTAAAGTAATGACAAGAAAATATAACGTCATAATACACGTAGATATCGTACGTCGCCGTTTATTGCCTTCATTCAGAGTTCCGTGCTTAGAGTACTAAAGTTTCAGATATTCGACGTTTGATGATACCAAATCAAATCAATTTATAGAAAGGAGTATCGTTTATGTATGTTATTTGATGCTATGGCATTGTATTGTCTCGTCGCGAATCAATAATCGTATTGAATTGGAGGTAGGGAATAAACAGTCAAGAAAACATCATCAACATTCAAAACAGTTACCTCAGTTACCATGAGGTGCGCCTGCTCTTCCGTCGTGTTTCGTAAACGCGCTAAATATAAAACATTTCATCACAACAGCTCGTTTTCCACCTTTCAAAACTGTCTAGCGAACGCGAAGTCTTGAAATAATAACACTTTACCTGTGCTGTCAGTGCAAGGCTCAAATTAGCACAGAGAACATCTTTTCTATCTATTCCTACGAATGGAAAAATTCAAAATATGTCGAAAACGGGTCCGAATGGTCGCGATAAGCCGGTTAAAGCAGTGCCGGCTAAGGCCCTCAGCCGGTTGGCCAGTAAATTTGGCGCGGTTCTGCAGAAACGTAAACAAGAGCAGCCCCCCGCCTCGAACGCGTGGTCGAATCTGATTAGAGACGCTTTGCAATTGCAGCGCGGCAAGATACCGCTGCTGCTGGCGGTCGAAGCGGGAAACCAGTCCATGTGCAGGGAGCTCCTGGGGGCACAGACGGCGGAACAACTCAAGGTAAGAAAAAAATTACTGGTAAAACATACTCGTAGTAAAAATTACCTATGTACAAGATTCATCGTAACTCTTTCAAATTTTCCTTGTTTCCTCCAACGTGCATTAAACATCCTTCTTCCAAAATTAGTCCTATCTAGTTTCCTACTCTTTTTCACATATTTTTTCAACCTTTCATGATGAAAAGCTATGAAATACAACTACACTATACGATTTAGCTATGATTCATCAATAAAGTGAGAATTGACGCTGAAATAGTCTAATGTCTGTCACATTATTCGATACTTTGACCATCAGCTTGTTTTATTGATAGAATAAAAAATCCGGTTTCTTACGAATTGAAACCGGTTTAAAATTCAGGAACCAACTCTCGGATAAAGTAGAAATGCTATTATCAATGCATGGCATTGATATATTGCGGGCCTACAACCGTATGAGTTGGTAGTCACAAACTGTCCAAAAACTATGTATTATCTGTGCTATCAGGCGTTTCATACATAAAATCTAACCTCCAAATCGCACATATGTCAAACAACAATTTTAACAATAAGTGCAATTTTTTGACGTCTCATTAATAACACATATGTGAAGTTGTAAAACGCCTGATCGTAAAGCAAATACATAGTTTTTGGTCAGTTTGTGACTACCAACTCATTCGAAGATAGACCAGTAATATTTTTAATTTTTTCATTAATTTATCATGGTAGTAACTGATTAAAAGAACTTTTATATTACAGTTAAAGTTGAATACAAAAGTATAGAAATAGTAACCAAAATTTTGTATATGAGAAATAAACAAAGAGAGTGTACTTCCACTTATTGGGTGTGATTATTTATATATAAAATAGAACTTTTATTTTCAATAAAGTTGCTGTTTCATGTAAACAATTCATTAAGGAAAATTTACAAACAAATCTGTTTCAAAACTATTTTTAGTATATTTACTATAATAAATGCAAATGTATGCATGTGTAGTAAAACAGTAGTAAACTCCCAAAGTAGAGGTTTCAAGTTTTATGCAAGTTAGGTTATTCAATTTTACCTATTTTATCATTGATCTAAGAGCATCATTAAGTACCATTAAAGTAGCATGTTGAAATTTCTATAATAAATTGCATTTTCTTGTATACTTTTGGATTATTGGTCAATAGTCAATAAATTGTCAATTTGTTTCAAATATTAATTTGCACCATATTGTTAGATTATCTTCCACAAACCGTCATCTTATGAATTAAGTAACTATGATATTTTTCTCCATTTCCAACTATTTCTCGTATTAAACCGATTATACCAGTTCATGTTAAACCCATCCAGATCAGTTTCTACATACTTGCATTATGTATTATAATCGAATATCATTTCTACAAATTCATTTCCAGCATAAATATACAACATTGCAATCATGACAACAGACTTTGTTTACTCGGTCTTTGCTGTGTCATGTCATCGAACTATAGATGAATAGTTTGTGTCCGGAATGTATTAAATTATCAATTTAATTTATTACAGAACGATGCTAATATTATCAAGGCTACTATAAATCTGTATTTTGTAAAAGATACGATTGTTATTAATAATGACATATCGCGTAATAAAAATTAGAATTGATACAGAAATATATATCTGAATTTGTATTTTTTTTGGAAAACAATTCTATCTTTTGTAGAATTGAATATTTCAAAAATTATATTCATTGAACTTTTATATCTATTATATTTTTAATTTTCCTAAAGGCCACGACGGCGAACGGAGACACGGCGATACATTTGGCTACGCGTAGACGCGATGTGGAAATGCTACGGATTCTGGTGGACTACGGGGCTGGTGTCGACGTCCAGAACGGCGAAGGTCAGACTGCGCTGCATTTGGCAGCAGCCGAAGGAGACGAATTACTGGTTAAATATTTTTATGGAGTACGAGCTTCGGCCTCCATAGTTGACCATCAAGGTAATAATGGAATCAACTAACTAGTTGCGTCAAATTCCCGTTTTATAAACTATAAAGTAGTATAAAGGTAAAGAGACTTACCCAATGTGTTTTTCTACAGACCGAACTCCAATGCATCTAGCAGCAGAAAACGGTCATGCAAATGTTATAGAACTTTTGGCTGACAAATTTCGGGCTTCCATATTCGAAAGGACCAAAGATGGCAGTACTTTAATGCACATAGCATCGTTAAATGGACATGCAGACTGTGCTATGATGCTTTTCAAAAAAGGAGTGTATTTGCACATGCCGAACAAGGTAGGTCACCTGAAATAAGGAAATAATATAAGTAATTTGCAGCAATTTTTTGCTCTCTTCTATATCTCATATAATGACTGTTAAAGTATGGCCTATCAAATTTAATTTGAAGTGCTATATTGATTTTTATTCTGAACACTAACTTTCAAAATATATTATTTCTATAAATAAATTAAAATTTTAAACATTTAGTTAATTCAATGTTTAATGTTTAGGGCGGCGCAAGGAGTATACATACTGCAGCTAGATATGGTCATGTGGGCATAATAAATACATTGCTGCAGAAAGGAGAAAAAGTTGATGTTACAACGAATGTGAGTTGTAGAATTTTAGTCACAATATGTATTAACTGGTGTGAAAAATCTAAAATTACATATATTGTGTGATTGCACAGACTATTATTTATCTAATAAAGATTTGGATCAGTAGCAGATAATCAATACCTCTGATTTTTTATCAATGAACAAATCAATTCTGTTGCTTTAATTTTTTATCCACATTATGAATGATATGAAAATTTCAAATATTTACTCACTAGGACAATTACACGGCCCTCCACATAGCTGTAGAAGCTGCCAAACCAGCAGTGGTCGAAACCCTTTTAGGTTATGGAGCAGAAGTTCATGTCCGAGGCGGTAAACAACGAGAAACTCCGCTGCATATTGCCGCTCGTGTTCCTGATGGTGACCGTTGTGCCCTGATGCTCCTAAAATCAGGAGCAGCTCCAAACCATGCCACTGAAGACGGATATACTGCTTTGCATGTGGCTGCACAACATGGGAATTTGGCGACTTTGCTTCTGTTGTTGGAGGATGGGGGTGATCCATTGTGTAAATCTAAAGTAAGAGCAAAATATTTATATAATATTGTAACTGAAGCAAAATTACTATTTAATTTTTTATTTTGGATATTTAATTAAGATATAAGATTGGTGTCAGATTTAGGTAAAATTGAAATTGAAATTGAAAAAGTCTTGGTTTATTATTTCAGAATGGTGAAACACCACTGCATTTAGCATGTCGGAGTTGCAAAGCAGATATCGTGAAGCATTTGATAGATTTGGTAGAAGCAAAACATGGAGCAGAAATAGCCACAAATTACATTAATTTAACAAATGATGAAGGTGCGACAGCTTTGCATTGTGCTTGCAACATCAGCTCTGACAAGGTAAATGGTGGAATACCATATAAATATAAAAAAAAGATTATTTCAAATTATTGAATTTATAATTTTTATTCTAGGTTGAAATACCTGGTTCAGACAAAGAGATCGTCCGGATACTTATAATGCACGGAGCAGATGTATCACTTGTAACCCGTCCTGGTCAAGAATCAGCGTTTCATTACTGTGCAATGGCGGGAAACAATGATATCATGTCAGAGATGATTGCTCACATGTCAGCCACCGATATCCAAAAAGCCATGAATAGACAATCTGCAGCAGGTTGGACGCCATTGCTAATCGCCTGCAACAGGGGTCATATGGAATTAGTTAATAATCTTTTGGCAAATCATGCGAGGGTAGACGTTTTTGATATTGAAGGCAGATCTGCTTTACATCTGGCAGCAGAACATGGTTACCTCCAGGTAACAAAGTATATGCGGCCTATTCAAACAAGAATGATCTTATATCTCAATTTATTTTTTTCAGGTTTGTGATGCTTTGCTGACGAATAAAGCATTTATTAATTCAAAGTCTCGAGTTGGACGAACAGCTCTTCATTTAGCTGCAATGAATGGTTTTGCGCATTTAGTTCGATTTTTAATTCGGGATCATAATGCTGTGATAGATATTTTAACACTGAGGAAACAAACGCCGCTTCACCTTGCTGCTGCTAGTGGCCAACTTGAAGTTTGCAAGTTAGAATAAAAATATAATTTTTGCAAATCATATTTCAATAGTGCGGAGCATTTAAAAATCTTTTTCTATGTTTCTATTTCTTCAGGTTACTCCTTGACCTCGGAGCTAATATAGATGCAACCGACGATTTAGGTCAAAAGCCCATTCACGTAGCCGCGCAAAATAATTTTTCAGACGTTGCCAAATTATTTCTCCAAAGACATCCAGTATTAGTGACAGCTACGAGTAAGGATGGAAATACATGTGCCCATATAGCAGCCATGCAAGGAAGTGTTCGTGTGATAGAAGAATTGATGAAGTTTGATAGGAACGGAGTGATTTCTGCTCGAAATAAAATAACAGATTCAACACCATTGCAATTGGCTGCAGAAGGTGGCCACGCAGAGGTAAAACCAACAGATCTAAATATTCGGAAATAATATTTTTGCTAACATTGAATTTTTTTAAGGTTGTCAAAGCTTTAGTTAGAGCTGGAGCATCATGTACCGAAGAAAACAAAGCTGGTTTTACAGCTGTTCATCTTGCTGCTCAAAATGGACATGGTACTGTTTTAGAAGTTATGAGATCAACAAACTCTTTGAGAATATCTAGTAAAAAGTTAGGATTAACACCTTTGCATGTTGCTGCTTATTTTGGACAAGCAGGTATGTAATATGCAATAATTTGAATAATGTAATGTTAATTTTAAAATCATTTTCATATAAAATAATTTATCTTGTTTTATAGATACCGTTCGTGAATTGTTAACTCATGTACCTGGAACTGTAAAATCTGACGCTCCAACGGGGACTTCACTAGTTGGTGAATTAGGTGCAGAATCTGGAATGACTCCACTTCATCTTGCAGCTTATTCAGGAAATGAAAACGTCGTCAGATTACTTCTGAATTCTGCCGGTGTGCAAGTGGATGCTGCTACAACTGAAAATGTAATATAATAAATAAAATTTTAATAATTTATAATATTCTTTTAATTATGAAGTTGTAATTGTAATAAAATACCTTCATTAGGGTTACAATCCTTTACATCTGGCATGTTTTGGAGGGCACATGTCCGTGGTAGGTCTTCTTCTGAGTAGATCTGCAGAACTTCTACATAGTGCAGATAGACATGGCAAAACTGGTCTCCATATAGCTTCTACTCATGGTCATTATCAAATGGTAGAAGTTTTATTGGGACAAGGGGCTGAGATCAACGCGACAGACCGAAATGGCTGGACGCCCTTGCATTGTGCCGCAAAAGCTGGAAGATTAGAGGTTTGATAATAATATTTAATAAATCAATAAAATGGTTGTTGAACAAGTTTTAAGTTATTCATATCTTAACCAGGTTGTTAAGTTGTTATGTGAATCAGGAGCATCGCCAAAAAGTGAAACAAATCACGGCTGCGCTCCTATTTGGTTTGCAGCTTCCGAAGGTCACAATGAAGTTTTAAAGTACCTAATGACTAAAGAGCATGACACCTATGGTCTCATGGAAGATCGTAGATTTGTATATAACTTAATGGTCTGCTCAAAAAACCATGGAAATAAACCGATAGAAGAATTTGTCCTGGTTAGCCCAGCACCAGTGGACACAGCTGCCAAATTGTCAAATATTTATATGAATTTATCAACTAAGGTAAGTGAACCAAATCACTTACACTTGGAATAAATTTACTTTTGTATTTTAATATTGCTTTTATAGGAAAAAGAACGGGCCAAAGATTTAATTGCAGCAGGAAAGCAATGCGAAACGATGGCGACTGAATTATTAGCTTTAGCTGCAGGAGCAGATTCTGCTGGTAGGGTATTGACATCAACAGATCGAATGAATACAGAATTTTTGGACGTGCTCATCGAAAATGAACAAAAGGAAGTTATTGCTCATACAGTTGTACAGAGGTATCTTCAGGTGGGTCCTAAGTGGGGTTGTCAGACATTAATTGCCAAATTTATTTCATTATCTGTAGTATTCATCAAAAATTTGTAGAGCATGTTGATATCAAGTTTCATGTTCATTTTGAATTTCTTTAAAAAAAACAATGATACAACAGAGTTTTATAAGAATTCATCTGACAACCCCAGTTATGTATAAAAAATAATGCTTTTAATTTAAATCACATCTGTAAGATTTATTAGACAATTTCCTAAGTCAATTTCCCATTTTAGGAACTCTGGCGAGGATCACTCACCTGGCCGGCGTGGAAAATCATGTTGCTGTTTTTCGTTTTCATCATAGTGCCACCAGTTTGGGTGGTTTTTACTTTACCATTAGGGCACAAATATAATAAAGTACCAATAATTAAATTCATGTCTTATTTGACATCGCACATATACCTGATGATACATCTTATGATCGTTGGCATTACACCTATTTATCCAGTCGTCCGAGCTAGTCTTCTACCATATTGGTAAGATGAAATATAAATCAATAATGAAAGAAGTATTTATATTCACCCAATTCTAATTACAGGTATGAATGGGGACTTTTAATATGGCTCAGTGGTTTACTTTTGTTTGAACTTACAAATCCAAGTGATAAATCAGGATTGGGTTCAATAAAACTGATGGTATTGCTTTTTGGAATTTGTGGTGTTGGTGTGCATCTATCGGGGATAGTATTTGTAGAAAAACAATACTGGGCAACATTGATGTATTGTCGAAACCAATGCTTCGCACTATCATTTCTTCTGGCTTGTGTGCAGATTCTAGATTTTTTATCCTTCCATCACCTTTTTGGACCCTGGGCTATAATCATTGGAGATTTGCTCAAAGACTTGGCAAGATTTCTTGCTGTGTTAGCAATCTTCGTGTTTGGTTTCTCCATGCACATTGTCGCGCTGAATCAGCCTTTTGAGAATAAATTGTCTCCAGATGCCATAAGAAAATTAAATCGACAGGATAAAGGATATTTTAGCGACGGTCAGTATCAAAATTTCAGTTCAATATAATATTGTACCAAATAAGTGATAATATCAAACACATTCAACGGTCAGTCATAAACATTTACTGATACGCCAACGTTAATGTGATTGAGATTATATGAATCACCTTGAGACTTATTTACATTTGGAAGATAACTGCAATTGCAATATAAGCTTATTTATTTATTAAACAATAATAATTTGAAGCGATTTTCTATTTATGGGAGAAGGTCGAATATTGTGTCATTAAATAATAATAATTAAGAAAACAAGTACTCTTAATTTATAAGAGTATTAGTTAAAAAGACTAATTGACTAAGTGCTTGCATGATTTTAACTAATTAAAAAATACATTTTGGCTTACATTGCAATAAGAAAAGAGTGTTTTTCCAATTAGTGTGACTAATGCCTTGTTTCCTTTTTAGGTAATATATTAATAATATCGTTTTATTCATTTTATTATTAATATAATATAGGTTCTAAGGAGAGAGTGCCTCGATCTACTGATGCAGAATGGTTGCCTGATTGGCATAATACCACTAGAACCTATTATTACGGACACTATCGACGAAAGCACAGACCAGGGAGTAAGTGAAGACGATTTTTGTGAAAATCTTTGAGGAAAACTATTTGTGATAATGGAAATATGTTATATTTTCACAAGTTAACCGAATTCTAATACCTGAATTCTAATATCAGTTTTATTTGGGTAAATGCAAAATTTGATTGATGCAACTAGTACAGAATTTTTCAGTAAGACCTTCAAAGTTTCTATATATCACCAGATAAGGACTATACCGAATTTGTCTTATCAGCCTCGAATAAATCACTTGTAAAATCGTTTAACTTTATTTTTAAAATTTTGGTAGTTGAATTTGAATTAAGAACATTTTACAATATAATTAAATTAACATATATAACATAAACCATTGTCACATAATTATTCATTTTAGTTTAATTTCCAGTATTAAAAATAAAAGAATTCAAATGGACCAAAATATAAAAAGTAAATGCCAAAAGTGGATGTTGCTTTTAATTACTCATTTTTGGCAAACTTTTTACACAAATGTATAATTTTTTCTATCTAGTTTTCCACAAAGTATTCTCATAATCAAAATTTGTTTGTTGTTAGATTTTCGCGTGTGCTAAAATTGTGATCGTCCCGTCATTTGTTTGAAATCAATGTATTTGTTAGTTGTTTGTGATTTAAAAAAAATCGTTCTTGTGACGTCTTCCTTCCTCTTGTGTGCTTTCAGTGATTTTACATGTTTTCGTATTACACATCCCTGTAAATGGAATATGGAAATGTTCTATTTGTTTACAGGCCGCAACATAATTATTGTTTACAAAAATAATGAATCATTTCATTTCAGCCGAATAAAGCATTCATTGAATTAATTCATGGATTTATTTTGCAGACACTTCATTACCCAATTTGTTGTGAATTTAGTGAGCAATATTTGTGTTTTAGAAAAATCCACTAATTTTATAGAAAAAATACACATCAAATGGATGTTGCAGTCGTAAAAGATTCAAAAATAAAAAGAATATGGTTGAACAAACAGATTTATAAAATATGTTGTATTTTAAATACACAGTTTTAAACTATTGCAAAAGTTACATACATATTCTTTTTACAAATCAGAATGCTTCGACAATTTTGTAGATATGTGTTCTTAGAAGTGTTAGAATCATTTTGTGAAAATGTTCCAAATGCCCGATCTGTTCAATGCACTTCGATGTTCTTTGTTAGAGGTGAGATTTTTACTTTTACTTTTTCAATTTTGTTAGCTTTATATTTATTTTATGCTAAATGTTGATTAAAATCTTTCAAATTTTAAATTTATTTTTTAAATCAATTTTTGCATACCATTTTATTTAAATGTAACTAGTTTCCATATTATTTTACTTGTTGTTAGGTGTCTATTTTTTTTTTGATTATATGTGTTGCTTTAAGTTTAAATAATGAAATTTGCTTATATGTTTTACAAAACTGATATAATTTTCCAAAAGCTTGATTTTCTGGATTTGAAAAAACTGCATTTTTGTTACTGCACAAGCATCCAACTGTCCAAATAACCACCTTATCCCCAAAATTTTATTCCTTTCGCCTTTCGGCAGCCAAGATGACCCCGATAGATGCATTCGAGAAGCTCTTCTTTGCTGTTTTTGGGCAGACAACACCTGATGACCTCAACTACGTCCCTGAGAGCAGACCCGAATGGACCCAAGCTTTATTCAAAATTGTTTTTGGAGTTTATATGCTCGTCAGCGTTGTAGTTCTTATAAATCTTCTCATTGCTATGATGTCTGATACATATCAACGCATACAGGTAAAATATACCAGGATTTTAATTGTTTGTTCTTGTTTTTCTCTTATTTCCGATAACTGATGATGGACTATGGATCTGGAACTGCTGGACCAAAACATGGACATATTTTAACTGGAAATTGTATTGGATCCTAATTTTATTTTCTTAATTTGTCATTTCACCAATTGGATTGGTTTCATCTAATAGTGACTCTAAATCCAATATCTTCATTCGAATTATTATTCTTTGCCGTTTTCGGCCAAACGACTACTGATCAAACCAGAGAACAAAGTATAAAAATACAACCAGCATGGACTATATATCTTTATAAAATCGTATTCGGAATTTACATGTTGGTGTCAGTTGTTGTACTTATCAATCTGTTGATTGCTATGATGTCGGATACCTATCAGAGAATTCAGGTAACAAGAAATATAAATTACCAAATATATATTGGTAAGTAGGTATAATCAAATAATTGAATCTGTTTGTTAAAGTATATTACTGAAATTATTATATCATTATACTATTTTGTTAGATATTGTATTGCATATTTGGATAAAGTAAAATTGGTGATTATCCAAGATAATTAGATTATTTACTAAAAAATACCAATTAAAATCAAGCAGATAAAATTTATGATAAGCAATTATTACCATTTATTTACATTCTAAATTTAGGCTCAATCTGATATCGAATGGAAGTTTGGATTATCAAAACTAATTCGAAATATGCATCGGACGAGTACTGCACCTTCACCACTAAATCTTATAACCACATGGTTCATATGGATAGTGAACGCTTGCAAGGTAATAAATCAATAAAATAATAATAATTGAATAAATATGGAACTATGAAATAAATGTCTTCTTCAGATGAAGATGACCAAGAAAAAGAAACCGAGTTTAATTCATATGATGAGCGGAATGCAGAGGTCGCAGGGAAGTCCGAGGACAAAAGCTGGTGCCAAATGGTTATCTAAGGTGAAGAAAGGACAAGTTGGACCAAAAGGAGGTAATTAATTTTAATCTTTTGCATAATATTACAACTCAGAAAAATTCATTAAAATGAATATTCTGGATATCTTGAAACAAGATTTGGTCAAAAACGTCTACCAACCATTTTAATCGAAAACAATAGTGACAGTAGATGGTTTTTAATGCTAATACATGAGTACGATTTTGAGTTTAAGTATTTGTACCAAAAACAAAGACAAATAATTGAAAACACTTTACTAAATATGTAAATGTGTGAACTGTTTTTTATATATATTATTATCTTTACCAGAGCCTGTAGCCCTCTCAGTCGTCCACCTGAGTCCACTCGGATCTCAGGTGAGTTTTACTGCAAATACGATGCGCATAGAAAACGTCGCCGATTGGGAGGCAATTTCAAAAAGGTACCGAACTTTGTGGGGACTTGATCCAGAGGAATCTTCCATCAAGGAATCTGAAGACACAACGTCTATGGTCACTGAAACTGCAGGACATAATAATATTAATGCTGTTAATGCTATCAATCCTATGAACGCTATTACGACGGCAACTACTTAAATGTAAGGAATGACTTAGGAAGAATTAACAAATTGAACCAAAGTTTTTGTCATCGGTGATTGAAGATAATTTGGATGATGGACTTCAATAGTCTAGTCGAAGATTGAGGATGAGTATTTTAGCATGGAGCTTTCATAAACAATCAACTAACAATAGTATTCTTATATCTCGAGATCAACATAAGAATTTTTTTTTTGTTTTTATTAATTTTAACTCGTTAATCTCCATGATAATCAGAGAATCAGAAAAAAATCACATGGGGTGTGGTAACTTTATTAGATAAATTGGAAATGTATCAAGAAAACTTAATGCATCAAGGAAAAAAATATCGCCACAATATCTATAAAAACACTATTTTTATGTCACACATAATATGACTGACATGGTGCAATATTAAAACTATTAGAAACTGGTGGTTCTAAATATTTGTAACAACTAACTAATTTCGAAATTCCAGTAAATTGTATGATTGCTGAGATATTTACAAAATGTAAAAACGGCAAATACAAAAGATTTTAAATTTTATAAATGGATTAATATGTATGTATATAGAGTGCGATGCTTGTTTATAAAATGAAATAAACTTGACAAAAAAAATATGCAATAAATATCAATATAAGGACTGATTATGACGAAAGCAAATATTTGATCAAATTATCAAAAATTACAAGAGTTATCAAGTTCAAATATGAAATAGTTTAAGAAAACCTAAGATTTTAATATAAAAAATTATAAATCTATACCCTGTTTGAAATAAATGATAAAATAATTTGTATAAACCTTAATTTTAATATTCAAAGTAAACTCCATTAAATTAAACATATAGTAATAAGGTGTGTTAGATTTTTTATACATTTTATACTCTACTATATGTGTATAATAATGTTGTAAATTGAAATAAAAAATATTTATAGCACTTATTAATAATTTGAAGAAGTTAATAATTAAAAATAATAATTATGTTAGTTAAGCACTTGGAGCTATTGTATATAATATTAATATGCATAATTTGTAATACAGATGTGGGAAAATATATTTTTATTTATAAAATTTTTGGAGTGTTTAAATAATATTCAAAGCAGAGGTTCTAAACCATTGGATAAACTCATTTTCACCTTCAATCAATTGAAATAGACATTTCATAAAATATAAAACAATGTTGATCTTTAATTTTTAGATGCAGGCTAGACAGAAAATTTATTTGAATCTTTTAAATTTCAAGCAATGAACTGAAGAAACAGAAACGTTTCCTATACAAATTATTCCAAAATTACTTCTGCAACTATAATTTGTAATCATTTTTATAGTACATAACATATGTAATTCTTGAATCGACTAAATCGGCAAGAGTTTTCAGTTGATGTAAGATTTTTGATAACAATAGTATTTCATTCCACAAAATTATTAGAAATATCTAATTTAGTTATCTAAAATTAGATAAAAGAAATGAATAAACTAGGTGCAGCTGGCATTTACCAAATGTCAAAATTCAATTTCTATACACAAACCGTTTTAAATTTTGGAGTCAAACGATTCAGAACTTCTTGAAACATCGAGACAATATACAATTATCATTTCGGAATCCATAAACATCTCTTTCAAAATGTTAATAAATAATTATCATACAAAATTAATTATAATTTACACTACTGGAATATTTTTACCGATAAAAATAAAAGTATGGATATAAAACAATTTTATCTAGCGCGTGTCTTACGGACTCACCAACAATCTCTGTGTATTTTTCCTCGCATAAATAAAAAGTATCTAAATAAAAATAGATAAAACAATTAATCTAAAAATATCACCATTGTATGCTAAATGCAAACAATTAGCAAGTAATTCACAATATTCTTTGCATTGCACCAAGTTGCGCACGATTATTAATTTCATTAACAAATGTGACGGGAACAAGAACACATATATAAGATATTTAGTACAGTATAAAAAGTTGAGGGAGGTCAAAATTAATTTTATCAGTGAATTGTGATAAAAGTGATACTAAAATATTATCGTGATAGAGATTTTATCGTGATACAGATATGTTTGTAAATTATTCGGAAAACAGTGAAGAAAAGCTGAATGGGAGACATTCTAAAAGCAATGGGATATGTAATGATACAGGTGAGGGAAAATGTTGATTGACTAGGTGTTAGTGGCATTTAGTCGCAAGGCAAGATGCATAAACCAGATATGTGTAATTTTACAAATTGTAAAGACCAAAAATACCACTGTTCATTTTTATGCTGAAGTTTTTGTCATGAATTCTAATGAATTTTTTCCAAACAAACTTACAATATCTGCAATTGATTCATAAAAATTTATTGCATATATAAATGTTTAATTATTAAAAATCATTTTTGACATTTTTTATATGTGATTTGATCTAAATGCAAATTAGGCCTAAGTGGCATTTTTTTTTAATAAAGTTGCATGATCTTTTTGATGTGTATATATGTATTGTGATAAGAAAACATTTGACTATTTATTACCAAACTTTGATAAATTTTTAAATGTTCCTTAAGTATATGAACTCTATCACTATGCAATTGAAATCGTCAAACTATTGTTTTTCAAGACTCAGTTGAAAAAATGGCACAACTGATCTTTATCAAAAACTAATTAGCAAGATTTCCAACTGATATTTTTCGAACAATTTCTTAAATTTTCAGAACGTTTAAGAATTTTGGCGAAAACGTTGACAAAAAATTTATAATTTGTTTTTTGAATTTGTTATAAAGTTTATAGGATACATTAGCCAAAAAAATTTTTTTGCCAAAATTCCTATTTTCTATGTCACAATATGGCTGATGTAGCTCTATATTAAAACTTTTTTGCTCCTTCTATCAATTCGCGTATAACTGACTTGGCAATTTACGTGTTAAACATTCTTTCCACAAAAATATATATTTGTTTAATAAACTCGTACATCATAAAATTATTATCACCATTATTATTATGCATTTTTCAAATTCCACCGAGATCGATCAACAAAAAAGTACTTCTATACAAATAATTTCTACAAATACAAGCAAATTAACATTAATTTAATAATCAATTTCATAAACCAAGACAAAACAAGATTTATCAGAATGCAGGCACATGTTAATATTTACAAACATTGTATGTCAATTACGCAATTCTTGGTTCACCGAAAAATACTGAAAGCTCGAGCAAAAAGTGTTTAATCTAATTTACGACCAATAGAGATTAACGTCGGAAATTTTGTATTTTAATAATTCCAAGAGAATTTTGAAGATAAAATATGTATTGCTACATTTTAAATTATCCTGTATAATTTTTATGTATTGGTGGCAAAGATCGGCGATAAATTACTGGTAAAATTATTAAGAACATGTGTAATATTATTGACAATATTATATATTGACAAATGGTATTTAAATATTTGAGATATGTGATTAAGTAGCACAAACATATTTTTTTAAAAGATAGTAATGGATATTTGTTAGAATTTATTGGCTGAAACCAGCTAAATTCAGCTAAATCTAAAATACGACAGAAAATCAATAACAAATCAAACAAGAGACTCTTTTGCACCAGTTACCAATTCAAAATATACCCCAGATCTCCCGATTTATTATATTAGTAAAGTAATTATTACTTTTACTTAATTACTCTACAAATATTTATTTAAAATATGATTATTCTACCACAAGATATTTACGACTCGATTGGGGGTCATTGATACGACGATGTTTTGAATAATATAGTTTTGGTTTGATTAAAAGTGTAATTATTGTTTGAAAGACATTGTAAACAATCTTACATTACTTACTTAATGATAAATTTGACATTATCTTTTAATTAATTAATAATCTTATGTAACTGGACATTTTTTTAAACACAGACCCAAAATTTTACTCGTAGTAATAATAGAAATGAAAATTGATTAATTAATAGTATTGATATTGATGAATCTTATAATGATAATTTAATATATTGATTTTTTTTAAATTGTCAGGAACATAATTGATCTAAACAGTTAGGAGTGAATTTCTAATCATATATCATTCTGTATTGAAAATTTGAATATTTTCTGCCATATTTTTGACCTTTTGCCAGGCTCTGGATAATCAAGTTTAAAGATAAGTGTTAAGAACACGAAAATACTCTGTTGATCATTATTATTAGGTGTTATGGTGTCTTTTCAAAGATCTTGGCATTTTGTAAATGGCAACCCAAATGGTTTGCTTGTCTTTACGTTATGAATTTATTATTACAATGTCTAAAAACTATTATTCCTGCAATGCCTCTATTTCCAATGCCTCTAGTGAAAACCGATATCACTACTGATTGACATCATGCTGTCCATGACTCTAACTGTTGCCTCAATGATCAATTTAGAAGTTTTATATGTTTAATTTCAAAATATTGAATCAAATCCAAGTAAAGAAAGTTTATTAACAAATTCTAAAGTTTTCATAAAGAACCACAAATCATGTTCCAAGAACTTGCGTCTTGGGCATCAATAAATTTTTATATTAGTATACCCCAAATTTTTAAAAATTGTGGTCAGTACCCTTCATAGTTTTCTTTACCAATAATGAATGAAATAACTTCAACACTACGACAAAATAATATTTTATAAATTAGCTATCATGATGTCATTTATCATTCTCTGGAATGATCTGGATGTTGTTTTGTGGTCGATATCTCATATCGATTGTTCTTTGCACATCAATACAATTAATGATTTTTTTCTATTTATCGTTTTCTCATATTGAAGAGAATATTCGTATATTACACATATTGTTGTAGTGCATGTTTTCTATAAGAAGTAAATAGATTTTTTTTGTCCGAGATAAGAGTCAGACCTCGGCAGTGTCTTTCGAACGATGGGTCAAGTAAACATTGCTATATCTTCTTTCGATTTCGGACTATGTAGTTGGGAATGGATTTATTTCACAATAAAATAAAGATAAAATTAATTTACTATAGTAGAATAGCACAATTATACATCGAACTAGTGGTATATGGCT